AATGCTTTGGTATCCTTTCTCACATTCTCACATCTTCATCTTAGCATCTGACCGAACCACCGACTGGGGCGGGTCACATGAAGTGTAGCCTTTAAGAGATTCACATCAGCATGTAATATGCACTCTCAGTTAGATCATCCGAAGATGAATTCATAGAGACCAAACATGATATAGGTGAGGTTATATTAACTAGTGGTCTATCATAACATGCATAAAACAGCATGCACTACAACAGACAATATACAAGAACAGTAATGGTATACACAATGACCTGAAGGATATGTGTATTCAATCAAAGAAAGGTTTTCCTATGAATTAATTAGAGAACAGTCCATTTCTCTGGGCATTATGTGTCTTTCCTATGAGGAAAATGAGGGAGTTTATCTGCCCGCATTCCTTTAGGCAATAAAACCAGTGATATCAGCATTGGTTGCCATGGAACCAGAGGCCTGTTCTGCCTTTCTGAGGTGTTAGGTGCATTTCGGGGGAAGGGTCCATAGACCCTCGTAATTGGCCCTTTGGTTAGGTGAGGGGGCGTTAGATATTATTTGTTAAATATAACAAAAAGTTGTGTGTCTGATTGGTCCAAATGCTACAGTTCCATTGTTTTTATCTGTTATTTTGCATGTCATTTGTTCTTTAATTTATTACTGACTGTTCCCTTGAATGATTTATTGAAAAACTTGAGGGAATGATTATAATAAAGAAGTGATTTAATAGTATGTAAGTATTTTGGATTTGGAATCAAGAATCTTGAAATTTCACTAACATTGGTATCGACAACTGAAGTTTTGGTGACAACCGTATAACTAGTCGACTAATCAGTCTTAAGAAAGCCCTGTATAATTTGGCTGGTTTTGGGTTCACTTGACACAGACATGTTTCTAATGGAGGAGGCTACATAAAATGTATCCCTGTGCTCAGAGAGCAAAGAAAAAGAACAGAATTTAGAGGTCTGGAGACATGTTTTGTTAAAAGTTGGACTATTTTTAACTTGACAATCTGTCTTAAAAATGCAAAGCTCGTGGTGACATGCTCAAACAACAGCACAAGACATGATGCCATGCCAAAGCTATCTGTCTGAATGTGTATGGCTGAAGCAGCACTGCTCTAAAGGGGATCAAGTTAAAGAAGCAACATTTTCAAGGGTATTTTACAGTAGTATGCAAACTGTCTAACACACACACACACACACACACACACACACACACACACACACACACACACATATATGGTATATATACCAGAGCTGGCAAACAGTGACTTCTTTAAATGGGTATGCTATCTAATTTATTACCGTAATTTATCAGAGACAACAAATAAGAAACTCCATGTCAGGTGTCGATTTAAAAGTAGGGCTGTTGCCTGGAATAATCAATAGGTGTATATATTTGAGGAAAACAAAAGGAACAATAAAAATCCTCAGACATTTGAATACTTTGCTCAAGCATGTTGCCAAATAACATGCACCTTCAACATAGTTTGTCTATATGCCAAAATATGTTTCCAGTGGACTTTCAAAATTTGCTTTGCTTGAAAAAACATATATACAATATATATATATATATATATAATATACAATATATATATATATATAATATACAATTGCAATGTTTTTTTCCCATTTGATTTAATTGAGTTGAGCATCAAATACAATGTGATTTTTGGTCATCGATATCAAGCAGCAACAGCACATTTTTCTGCTTTCATAGCTTTCTTTTCCAATTCATAGCAATAAAGCTCAGGCGCCAAAGTTGGATCCACTTGCCCGAATCCCTCCGTAACTGCCACAGATTTGCAGACAATTACCGTCATTTGTCAAATAAATAATTTAAGGACAGTTACATAAAAATTCAGCTTTGCATCACAGAAATAAATTCCATTTTAAAATACATTCAAATAGAAAACAGCTATTTTTAATTGTAAAACTTAATCAATATGGAAAACAATGACTACATTTACTGAGCTTGTCTACTCATCCGCACTCAATCTTATTTACAGTTTTTCATGAGAAGGGCTGACGACCAAGTCAAAATTTAAATTCAGTGTTGGTTCAATTGTTTTCAATTACTCTCTATAGCCTCAGCTAAACGATTTTCATCAGTTTAATTACATATTCGAAATTGGCTGCAAAATGCTAATGAAAAGTGATGTGGAAATCACATCTCGTGTTATCAGGGTTAATCACATTAACGCACTCGCTCTTTCACCATCACTGCATTGAGAAAAGTGTTCTGATTCAGCGGGAGGATTTTTCGCAATAATAAAAGACTGGAAATGAATCAGCAAACTACAAAAACTTCTTTGTTATGTTATGTTCTCTTGCTCTCAAACACACACACACACACACACACACACACACACACACCTCTTTAGCAAGTCTTCGGGCTTCGTAGTAAGGTCTGGCTTTCTCGATGCAGGCTCCCAGCTGAGAGCCCTGAGCGTTGAGTTTGCGCGCCGAGTCTGTAAGGATCCTCCTATAGCTGGATCTCGCTTCCTAAACGAGTGTTAGACAGAGATAACGAGAGAGTGAGAAACAATGCTTAATTTGGCACGTTGAGTAAAACATGTAAATAATAGATATATTAATACTCCAATTTAGTGGTTCTCAACTGATGGGCACTCAAGCTAAACATGGCTCACAAAGACAGTAGCGAAATAAACAATATTGAATGAAAATAATAAAGTGCGACAAAACGCATAGTTAGGATTCCAAAATACATTTTCAAGCCAGGGCTTGAACTCAAACTAGACCACATGGCTAGTTTGACTTATCTCTCTCTCCCTTTTTCTTTTTTTTTTAAAAGGAATTTTGAGAAAATATTGTGTAAAACACTGCGTCACATACACTACCATTCAAAGGTTTGGGGTTGATAAGATTTTTCAATGTTTTTGAAAGAAGTCTCTTATGCTCACCAAGACTGCTGAGCAAAACTACAGTAAAAACAGTGATATTGTGAAATATTATTACAAATAAAAATAACAAATAAAAAATGTAATTTATTCCTGTGATCAAAGCTGAATTTTCAGCATCATTACTCCAGTCTTCAGTGTCACATGATCCTTCAGAAATCATTCTGTGCTGATTTTCTTCTAAAAAAAACATTTCTTATTATTATCAATGTTGTGCAGCTTCATATTTTTATGTAAACCATAATCCTTTTTAAAGAACAGCATTTAATTAAAATAGAAATCTTTTGTAAAATTATAAACATCTTTACAGTTACTTTTGAACAATTTCATGCATATTTTATGCCTACTTATTGAACAAAATTCTATATTTTTTCCCAAAAAAAGAAAAATGTCTTACCGATCCCAAAGTTTTGAACAGTAGTGCATATTATAAACACTGTGTCATTGCACTTCATCAATTTTGTGCACATCTCATTTGCTGTTGTTAAACTGCATTATGTTCAATACAAATTACTGTCAGATATCAGCCCTTCTCACCAGACACTGATCATTAAAAAGAAATCTATTTATTGGTCACACAGATTGTAAACTTGCCGGAACTAATTCTAGCTTCACAAAATAGAGGTAAGACAATAGAGCAGGTGTGAAGTGAGCGCTATTATTAACTACTGTAACCAAATGTAATGACAAGACATTATATCGTTCAAAATTGAAGATCTCTCTAAGGCTGTGTCTCATTTTAGGGCATCACGTGTGCATTTTGAAACAGGATGTGTACCCTTAACATCTAAAGACACTGTCTAAGTAGTGAGCTCACTAGATTTTGAGACACAGCCATAGTGTCATACATATTACTCACATCCAGCTGTAGTTCCAGTCTGTTGATCTCATCACTGGCCTGATTCAAGTGTTCCAGCTCCTCCTGACCAATGCAAACCAGGGAGGGAAGACAGTTGACATTCATTTACTATTAATAGAAGTATTCAATCACTGACAAAGGCATATGAATTTATATAAAACTAGCAAAATCACAGACAGACAAATCATATTATAACATTTTGCTATTATAATCCATTAATTGAAGCAAACTGTGTAATAATATATGCCATAGTTCACAGTCATAGTCACAATATCAAGTTTATTTTGGGTCCAGATCCTAATACCTGAATCCTGGGGTCCAGCTCTTCCTCATATTGCTCCTCATCTTCATCAAACTCAGCCTTATCTTTCTCCGCCACCACAGTGTTCTCGGTTTTGCTCGTGGTTTCCTCGTTTCCTCCATCCCCGCTTCTGTTTTTCAGGGTGTCGTCCCTCGCCCCGGTCTCCACCGCGGCGCTCTCCTCTCTCCACTCCCCCGACTCAGGCTCCCCGGATCCGGGGGGGTTCTCACGCTGCTGCCGCGGTTCCATCCGAGGCCTTGAGAATGACCCGTTTTGTTCTTAGAAATCAGAATATATAAGTGCTTAAATGTTTGCCATTCCTATACATTTATATCTACCCGATAATTTGCCGGTAAAGTGCTACATAATCGGAGAATGAGAGTAATTTAACGGCGCAGGCGTGTTGTTTGCAGCGGAGCTGACAGCGCAGGATGACCCGGGCTGAACCGTTAGCTTCGCGGCTAACTGCAGGAATCACAGCCTCTCCAGACCGCACTGCTCCACTGCTCAGGGCTCACAAATACAGCGACAGCTCCGACCTGACAGACACTAGACAGTCACTCTTGATAGTTTCCGTTATTTCTCACCCTCCCTATTTCTCCTTCTCTCTCTAGCTGCCAGGATGATCGTTACCAACATGTTCCACGGAAACCAAAGTTTTCTCCTAGTTACTCCAGTTATTGTTATTATTACTGTAAAATCATCCTAAATTAATGAGGGACCTTCAAACAGTGTAAGTAACTCGGGGGAAAAAAATATTTATTTATTTGATAACAGTGGTGGCTTATACAAAATTACCATTGTTTTATTGTACTAGCAAAAACATGTGTTTATGTGAATCTGAGAAACCTATCAAGTATTTCACGTTGAAAAGTAGTATTTTATCCTGAAAACATCAAATGTAATAAATTACATTGAAACGTGTGGCATTATTAACATTATTTTGATAATTAAGTGCATTTTCGTATTTTTCTTATTACCATATTGCAAAGAAAGTACCTCATTAGCCTATAATTCCTATTATTTATTTATTCCATTCATTTTAATGGAAATTTGTTTTGGAAATAGAAATTGTCATGAAAATAATGTATGAATGGTCCTAAAAATAAGCATTATTTATTTTATTTAAAATATAATTATTTTTTCATTCATAAATTATATATATATATATATATATAGGCCTATATATATACACACACACTGAACAAAATTATAAACGCAACACTTTAGTTTTTGCCCCCATTTTTCATGAGCTGAACTCAAAGATCTAAGACTTTTTCTATGTACACAAAAGGCCTATTTCTCTCAAATATTGTTCACAAATCTGTCTAAATCGGTGTTAGTTGTAACACCGAGTTGAAATGTTAACCAGCCCAGATGAGAAACTGTGTGGGGCTAATAATGCACGGGAGATTTCCATCCCCCCCCCCCCGGGTAAATAGAAAAAGTCTTAGATCTTTGAGTTCAGCTCATGAAAAATGGGGGCAAAAACAAAAGTGTTGCATTTATAATTTTGTTCAGTGTATAGCATTTTTATTCATTCATTTTTTTTAAATAGTGGGAAATGTGAACTGGAAGTTTTCATAAGATTCACCCATTAAGACTCACATTTATTCCTCTCCATCATCCTAAAAGCTGAAACTGAATTCTGTCATTTTCCCCGTAATTACATGTGACTGAAATGTACATTTCATGGCCTAAATTTCCATGTCATCAAACAAAAGAGATAGCAATCAGTGTAAACAGTATTTCTTTTAGTCAGTTTACCTCAGACACAAACATGAAGCAAGTACAAAAGCTAAATTAAGTCAATAAGGGAATAATAATGCAAATATCTCTCATAAACAGTAAAAAGCTTTGAACTATGTATAGAAACAGTTTTTTTTCAACTTGCAGTGAAATACACAAAAATAGTGCTCATTACAGATATTTTCTCCTGTCCATCTAATAAACTGTAATTTTCAGAATAATTCTCTAGTGAATAATGTATTTTGTAGTCTCTCAGGGCTGTTCTTCCTTTTTTCCTTTATGTATGGCTCTTTTGTCTCTTCCAGAATCTCTTAACCTCGCTGTGTCCATGTGGCGTTTGCAGTGAAATACACAAAAATAGTGCTCATTACAGATATTTTCTCCTGTCCATCTAATAAACTGTAATTTTCAGAATAATTCTCTAGTGAATAATGTATTTTGTAGTCTCTCAGGGCTGTTCTTCCTTTTTTCCTTTATGTATGGCTCTTTTGTCTCTTCCAGAATCTCTTAACCTCGCTGTGTCCATGTGGCGTCACCACTATGACCCTGTGAGCGGGGTTCTGCCAAACCAGCACACCTAAACCCTGCAGGACAGACGTTATACTGTCAGGACTGTGTGCCTCACTGCAGGACAGACAGTCGCTGCTTATAAAGTACAGCTAGTACAAATGGAAAGATTATATTTTTTACCTGAGCCCTGTCCCGCAACACTTCAAAATCAGCCTGGGATAAAAACTGGTTGTATAACATTCCTGAAAGAAAGAAAAACGTGGTGTAAAATACACAAAATGCATCACTGATGCGTTAGTATATTTTCAGATGCCGTTTTTGACCCCTACCAATCCATGTATCATTCGATCATTCATTTTTTGATTTAATATTGAAAGTAGAAAAATGAGAAAACGGCTCCTTTTTCGTTTTTTTTTTCGTTTTTTCCAAAACACGAAAAACGAGAATTCAGCTTAAATTTTTGTTTTTCGTTCATGGGTGGAAAAATGAATAAACAGTTTGAATATTTGATTTCTACACGTGGGCGGGAATTAAACGCCCCTTTCTGCTGATTGGTCAGCCGAAGATCAAACCATGCCTTCTTCAGTTCTTCTGCAGTATCATGCAGCAGAATAATAGTCCTCTGCTGCTGCAGTTGTACGGATTAATAACCCATTTGATAAATTTCATATTTTTCTCATCAAACTGGCTAATGAATAGCTCGACACAACTCGTACCGGGGCAGAGTCTAGACAGTTCTTTCTTCTGTGTAGACCAGCGGTTCTTAAAGTGATAGGGGGTCCAAGAAATAATTTGCTATAGCCTAAAGTATTTCCAGATTGTAAAGTCGCTTTTTTTATCATGATGTACACATAGGCTTACTGTGATTTATTCCAAAGTGACATATGATGCATTTAACCTCAAATAATCTAAATGAAGCCTTTTAAAAGACAAGTATTCCCTGTGGTTGGTGTTTGTGGCATGCGCCGGAAAGATGCTCAAGGAGACCGAAACACGCTAAAGCAGCGCATTCTGTTGTTCTCTTTATTTTTTCAAAGGCATGACATTTTGTAGTTATTTTGAACGTAACGTTACACAATTAAAAA